GGGCTTTGGCGAGCGATTCTGGTCTTCTTATTCATTTTCGTCAAACCATACGGGTGTTGACAGACTTTGACCGGGCGGGTGCAGGGCTCCAATTAACGCGCACAGTCTTTTTGCTGCGAATGGGCGGTGGTACGGCATCACACAGGTGACGCGTGAAAAGCACCCATTCCTCACGAGGTTCGACTATCTTCGATGGTCGAGTTTCTGTCAGTGAGTTAGTAGGTTTCGATGAGTGATGATCCTTTCAGGTCGCGGAGACAGACGCGTCAGACACTGTCGCAAACGGTCTCGATCCTGTGCCTGGCTCTGAGCTTCGGCAGAAGACAACCCAAGTTTGAGGCAGGGTCAATCGAGACATTTGCCCCATGTCATTCTTATCCACTAATGGGAGTTTCGGTCGGTCGGTCGGTTGAGCAGGTAGTTGCTGGTTCACTTTCTTTGGAAGCATGGAAGCATTCGCAAAACACCCAAATGATCTGAGCTGTCATTGCTAAATCTGGAAAAGCAGCTGGTGTGTACCAAAGCTTTCTCGGATATGTGGACTTCAAATTTGTCGAGTTTCATTGGCCGAGACAAAACAACGCTAACGCCTGAAAATCCGACCATCCTGCCAGTGCCAGTCTTTTAACCGGATGCAATCTGATTGACCTCATCACCTGTGCGGACATCGCAATACGCGATCCATTCTTTATGCGATAAATTTTTATGCGAATCAATGCTAGTGATATTTTTCGTGGATTTGAAGAAGAATCAAGAAAAAAATCACCTGAAATTAGGAATATATGTGGTAGAAAAACATAACCTAATAAGTTTGTCGGACTTATCTAAAGGTTCCTTACTGTGCGGATTACAAATTAGCAGTGACTAATGTCAAATCTAGCAAGTTTACCTTGAATACTTTACCTTGAATACAGTAGGCGTATCGTCGTTGAGGAATGTAGAAAAAGTAGTCAGGTTTGTAGTGCGTCAGGCGAACCCTGAGGACAAATTAAATTATGCACAGGATTTAGTTTTTGCTTGAATCATTACCGGGGACACGCTGAAGTCCAGATCATGATACTTCTAAAACGGGTAGGCTGCGTCGTGACAGGTCTCAAAGTGGACAACTCCTAAGGTAATCCTACACATTAACTCACCAGGTCATGATTCATTATCCAAGAGCAAGGGCAACGTAGTTTGTTTCATGAACGTAAAGGCAGAAGGTCCAGGTTTGAACAGGTTATGTAGCTTAACGTGAATTTTTTCCAGGCTGTGTCTTCTAGAAGGAAAACCTTCGAGACACCTAAAACGGCTATAGACCCAAAGCGGAATCGTCGAATGAAATGTTTTCTGGGCCAGCGTTTTGGACAACAATCACAATGGCTATCAGTGCATACATGTAGGTTCCTTTCAAGGGACTCATGCAAAATCTAATCGGTCGCAACTGGCAAAATTGTGCAGATGTTTAAGATAATATTGAAAAATATAAAACCTACCGCGTAATTCCCAGATTTCATGGCGGATTGTTCTGCAAGCTTCTCTTGATTGCCTAGGGGGCCATTTAAGCAAGCTGAGGTTCAGTGGCATTTTAGCACCTGCAGTGACAGATGCATCTCGCATCATTTAGTTCTTGGTTTGCTGCAGCTACCTCGCTCTCATTGTGAACAATGTTTCATTAGCCGGTACATCGAAATATGCGAGTACGCTTCAGTATGTCATACCATGCATATATCATCCAAGACATGATGCAAAATATGATGCATGACACATGGTGGTGATAAAATTTAAGCTATTTTAACTTCAACTAGGTAGCTTCAAAATTCATTCAGTTTTTTGGGTTTTAATTTCATTGTATCAAGAATCCTAGTTTTTTGAGTTACAGGATAGCATCTAGGATAAAAGCAAAAGTCGCTGCAATCTCTGGCAAGATTATATTATAATACTAACACTTATAAGACAGCCGAAAGCTACAGAAGATAGTTCAACTAACCAACTTCGTGCAGCATGACTCAGTGAGTCGACCAAGCATCTGCATTCCTTCCATTTGAAGATATTAATATGGCATGTCGTTGATATGAACTGAATTATTGCAACGATTAGTTGAGACTGACATTCCTTCAAATCACTGTAACAGGATTAAACGCACGGCTGAATTCCCCTGATCGTAAGAGAGCCAAATTTTGACTATCTTAGTAAATGCATAACCCAATGGTCGTCGAAGCATTTCAACCATTTAGCCGTGCTACTGACCCTGGATATTTATCTAGTACCTATTTATTTATTGCACAACGGCCCGTGATGAAAATGGAGCAGCATATTACGTGGTATGCCAGAAGCATGCCATTGTGAACTACTGATGACTGTATTCAAATTATCCAATTCATTCAGCTTACGCCAGAAAGTCGTTGAATAGTATGTTTTCCTCATCAAGTTTGAGATCTGCACATTCTATCCCAAATGTGAGGCTAACACTACTCCTGTGTACTCCCCCTCCCCATCACTTTACTAAAGCGCTGTTGATTGATAGCAATTGGTGGTTCACATATGAGACTAATTACGGTGATAGTGCTCCAGACGCACTCTTAACAAACAGCATCTGTTGTCTTAATTTGGTACTTGTAGGCCAACGATCCCTACGAACACCTCCCTCACTCGTCATCTTCAGCCTCAGTAGAGCCAAAGACCATTTTTTTGGTACCTGCCAAAAATGACAGAAATGAGGTAACGGTTGACATGATCAGACCAGTTGGACGACCTTTATATGTCAAAATTGATGGAACGGGTTCATTTTACCGAAAATGGTTGAATACAAAACCGGGAGTCTGGCTTGATCCATGTACAGGTTTATCGTGTATTCAGGTCAAGCAATTTTTCATGTTTGAAAACAAAATACACAGTCTCGTACTGAGAAAAAAAGGAGAAAGCTCAAGCAGATGGTTACTCATATTTTCATTTACCGTTTACACCTTAAGTTGAATTTTTGTCAGCTGTCAGGTGTGTGTGTCTGTGAGTGAAAGCTGACGCCATGATGTTCGTATTATTGGTCAATCAGAAATATTGTGCCCATTTTTTCAGCTGGTTGCACGGAAGCACAGAAGGGTAAATTCCTTGCCCAAGGCGATTTGCAGGTAATATAAGAAAATGCCCAAAATTTACTTCGCCTTTAAAGTGTGAACTGTGCGCTTCAAAGACGAACATAGATTGTCCAGAAAGAGAACTGGCTGTCGGCATCGAATACCCGATAAATAAGCTACCAGAGATTTTCAGGCGCGAACTCTTGTTCGTCATGCCCTCGACACTTTCTCGAAGTGGTGTATGCATCCGCTGAGGGAAATGCTAGCAAACAAAACACATGCTGTCAAGAATGAAAGGCAGTCAAAATAATCTGAAGCGTGTCCTACGACCTGTTGTCGACGAACATCTGCTCGTCGGTGGCTTGGTTGTGACAAGTGCTGAAATCGCTTCGGCAGTTGCCACTGCTCTGCGGTGGTACGTGCAGCGGCGGTAGTCTTTCAACAGGCTCATTTTCAGCAGACAATCCATAAACAACGAGAAAGCTGAAATCCTGGCGGAAACGGCAGCAGACCCGGTTGACCGGCTTGTGCGCGAAGTTCACAGGAAAGCGCCTAGATTTGTGAACCGTCGCCGGCGTTCTTCGACGCATTATGCCTAAGAGGTTCTTAGGTTCTTCTAATGCCGGATTAGCTGCGCACAGGAACGGAAGAACAGACATAGGTAATCGATTGAATCATGCCGCCGAGGTCAGGCGTAGGGTCCAACAGCGTCCGTCCTTCTTAACATGAAGTACAGCGTCAAGGCAATGCCGAAACCCTAACCTCGTGAACAGCTGGAAAGCACCATGTACGTTTGTAGGTTTGCTAGGGTTTCACCCAAACTAAATGGATGACTCCCGTTTGAAGCGAATGAAGAATCTGCCTGCCAACGTCTACATGGGAAATTGGCAGTCAATCATTCACCAATCAATTTTCCTCCTGCGACAGTTGAGGCGAATGCTATTTTCTTTTCAGCGATCGTAGCACACCATATGCGTGAAGAATACATGAAACAAGGATGTGCAATAAATGGTAATAAATATTTATGCTGAATCAATCCTATGTGATTGTCGCGAAAGAAAAGTAGTAAAGAACATCGGTGCAGACCGATTATCCCCTTTCACTTGAGAATATCCACGCTAAAGCTAATGTATCGGGTCTCTTTAAATTGGAAGAAGAACCCTATAATCAAAGAACATTACTAGATGGACGGATTAGAGGGCCATCGTTAGTATAAATCTTTGCAGAAAGCATCGTTTAATCATTTGTCGCGTTCTTTATCATGTCGACATAAGCTGATGACTCCTGGAACTAGATTTTTAGTTAATAAGCGGCGTAGCTTTGATTAAAAAAAATGAAACGTATAAGAAAGATGATTCAGTAATCAGAGAAAATAAAACATTCATAATGCTCTAGTAAAGAAGTAGAGTTGGTTCAAGTGAAATGGAAGGAAATCGAATGAAACGATGGCAATTAAAGCGTCTTCCTGCGTTCGACGAAGTGCATAATTTACCTTTCAGGAAATCCTGAATCTTTGAAAACTGAGCCAAAGGAAAGACAAGGATGGTAAATGAAATTGATTATTACCAGACATGAATATGCTTTACGGTATTCGGATTACGTAGGCCTAGAAATATGGTGCGAAATTTTATCCGTCATGTCTTCAGAACATAGACGATAGGATACTTAATAGAAAGAAAATATTTTTATTGTATTATATTGA